GTCCACCCAGGCTGTGGGCCCCGCCCGGTAAAGGTGGGGACTCTCCCGCAACTACTGGAAGGAGGAGAGGAAGGAAGGTGCTCGGCTGGGACCTGGTTAAAAAAGTGAACAAGCAAGGGCACTGCCGCCTGTGCCCCACGTGGAGCCCCTGCCGTGGGGCGGGAGGGGCCACAGGAGCTGAGCCCGCAGTGTCTGCAGTGCCGGGCTCCAGAGACACGGAGGCGGTGTCCTCGTTCACCCCCCAGCAGGGCCCGTGGACCCCCGTGAGGGGTGAGCTCTGCGTGGCTACCTGCCTGCATGTCCATCCGGGGGGTCTGTGTGACTGCAGCTGCCCTCAAGCTCATGACTTGGGAAGTTTCACGACACTATGCCCGACTCCATGTCCTACGTTGGGCGTCCTTTACATCGGCCTTTACTTCCTACGATGAAGGGGGGGGGGGTCTGCAGCAGGCGGTCGCTCAGGGAGCTTCAGGAAGTGCTGCCTGCGTGCACCTCACGAACCTGTGCAGACGCACAGACGCTGCCTCCAGTAGAGGAGGCGTCACTCACCAGGCGGGACATGTCTGCAGCTCAGCCACCTCGGACCCCACGCAGCTCACCTCCCTGGGGGTCCCTGCCTGAGACCTAATGCTGAGTGCTGCAGGGACAGAAAAGTGGTGTGTGTGTGTGCATGCGTGTGTGCCTGTGTGTGCATGTGCATGTGTGTATGTGTGTGCATGTGTGTGGTTAGAGCCACAGTAATCGTAAACCTCTACTCTCCACCGCGGAATAGCACACCTAAAGTGTTATTCATTTTGAAGAGGTAGCTTGACATGTGGAAAAGGTGTCACTGACTCTTGTCTGTGGGTCTTGCCTGAGCCTCAGTTCCTTTAAAAAATGTTTTTATTGCTTTTTAGAGAAAGAGGAAGGGAGCAGGAGAGAGATAGAAACATCAATGATGAGAATCATCTATCGGCTGCCTCCTGCACACCCCCTACTGGGGATTGAGCCCACAACCTGGGCCTGTGCCCTGACCAGGAATCGAACTGGTGACTTCTTGGTTCCTGGGTCGACGCTCTGCCACTGAGCCACACCAGCCGGGCGCCTCAGTTCCCACATCTGCGAAAGGAGCCTGGGCCTTCCCAGGGGTTTCGCAGAGGCACCTTCAAGGGACCTGTGTCAGACCAGCAGAGTCGTGGGATCTAGGGTGGGGGTGGCTCCCACGCACTCTAACTCGCGACAGCCTGAGGCCCAGGTCACATGCATGGCGCCAGGTGCACCCAGGAAGCCCGCGGCCAGCACCCACTTCCCACCTGCAGACATACTCATGGCTGCAGACGGTCCCACACGGACCAGGCATTCCCAGGCTACCGAGCCAGTGGCGGGACAAAACGATTTTTCTAATAGAAGTGAGGGGTCCATGGGGGACTCTTTAAAGTGGGAGAGCAAGTATTACATGCCACCCCCCACCCCACTCAATGTGGAGGCCAGACCGACAGTAACCTCTGCTGTTAAGGAGCGACCTGCATGGCGAGGCCAACGCCCCTCTGGCAAGGAAAGGCGTGTCTGTTAGAGAAATGGGGCTCCGTCGGGGCAGCTGTAACTCGCAAGGTCCTGTGGACTCACTGTTGTCCACCGTGAAGCAAGGGGACGGGAGGGGTTACGTCTGAGAATCAGGCGCACAGCCACAGCGGGCGACTCCTGCACCCAAAGCACCGGAAGCCGGAGACGAGTGAAGCCTCTGAGGCCCTTGCAGACCATCTTCCCGCAGCCTGTGCTGCTCTTGCAGCTGAGAAATAAGCCTGGAAAACCCCAGGGATAAGCAGCCTCAGAGGAAAGGAACATCTTGGCCTACGTTCAGAATTCGAGTTTTTACAGTTTATTAATAGATGTAACCAGGTTTTCAGAAAGGTCTGTGGTACATGCGTCTAAGCTAAAGACACAGGACAGATGCCCAGAAAGCACGGGACACGGGAGAGAACTTTCCAAAGGGCAGAGCCCCAAGCAGCCCCCAGCACCGGGTTAAATCAAAGCCCCAACACGCCACGCGGAGGTGACACACAGCAGCGACCTACAGGACCGCCTACACGACCTTCCTGCCAGCAGCTGCCCCCGTGGGCCTCGGGGCGCTGCACCCTAAGACAAGAGCAACGAGTCAGGAAGCCAACTGGAGGCCCGTTGTTAGAGCTGCGTGGAGTCAGGCTTGTTTGGCTCCCTGAGGGAAAGGTAGCCGAGACCCTCTGTCTCCCACCCCTGCAGGTGCTCACGCACCTGGAAGGAAGAGGAGAGCTGGCGGGAGGGCACGGTGTCTTTAGGAAGAGGCTGACGGTGATGTCATGTGATCTGCAAGTTTTCCTGTCACGACTCACAGGTGGTCTGAGCAGGGGAGATGGTCAGAGAAGAAAGTTCCTTCCGAATCAGAGCTCACGTGAAGCCTCATTGTCATCAGCCCCCCTGACTCTCGACAGTTTCATTCTATTTTTGGGCCTGGGGTCTGGTGAACTGCAGGGTTGGACCTCACCCCGGGAGGCAGCTTGAGGAACACCGTGCAGCACCCCAAGTGTGTGGGGGCTGGGCTCCAGCCTCGGGGACTCCTGGCCTGCGTGACCCTCGCCTGCCTCCTGGGAGTCGCTTTCCTTGGGCTGTGCCCACCTCCCTGAGCCACTGACCTGGGCTTTCTCTGTCAGACAGACCAGGGGCCGGAGAGCAAGAGCTCCAGGCACCAATGGCCCTCACGTGCACGTCACATTCTGATGTGCACTGTTTACATGTTGTACATAATCAGGCATGACGCTATTGGCTTCTTTCCCAGAATATTCAAAATGTGTGGCTCTGGGTAAGCACCGAGCTAGGCGCCATCTTGGGGTGTTTAAGAGGTTTGAGGACCCAAGACCCAAAGTTTATCTGGCAGAGTTGTCAGTCCGTGACCCAGAGTCCTGTTAGTGGCCAACTGGTGTGAAGTCAGTGTGAGAAGGGACAAGAGGACCCTCTCCAGGAAGTGCGTTTCTCAGCAGGTGCACGTGGAGCTGCTCTTTGCAGGAAGCGGGGCCCCAATGTCTCACGAGACGTGGGAGCCGCTGCACCACGGACGGTGCCAGTCACGCTCTCCACCAGGGAAGCAGCTTTGAGAACACGTGTGAAGAAGAAGCTCTGACCAGAGCCCGGCCTGATTTCTCTAGAGGGAGCTGCGTGATCTCCGGGATGGACAGCGGCCTGTGACTCAGGTAAGAGCAGTGGATGGGAGAATCACAATTCAAAGGAGAAAGGAAACCATGTACCCTACGGACAGCTGGAAAAGACCAGTGAGAACTGCTTATTTCAGCATTACACCTTTATTGTGTACATTTAATCGAAGATCCAACGATAAACACAAACCATCCAGAAAACTGGTCACGTTTAGGTTTCTAAGAAAGAGTCACTCACAACGAGATGCACTGGTTACAAAGACAAGCCTGGGAGCGAGTGTGGCTGTCAGATCAGCCGGATGAGGAGAAGGCAGCCCCTCTGGATGGCGAGGCCCTCGGGGAAGAAGCGGATGAGGGAAGGGCAGCGCCTCCCTCTGAAGATGCCGATGGCGAGGACGCCATCTTCCAAGATGAAACAGGAGGAGGCAGGCAGCCTGGAGCTTCAGATCCACAGAAACTTCTAAGCCCACAGTCAAGGCATGCAAACCAGTGCTAACCAGACCTGCAGAACACTACTCTGGCCTCTGGGTCTAGATGCGCATTAGGTGCGAGCTGTGGGAAGGCCACTGTCCGGTCACAGCCGGCCTGTGGGGCTGGAGCCGGGCCAGACTTCTGCCAAGTGTCCTCATCACAGAGTCAGAGGGAAGTGCCTTCTGAGGCGCTGGCTAAGGTCCAGGGGCAGGGACCCACGTCCTGGCCAGGAGAGAAGCATGGTTTCAAGCTATGAAAAAAGATGCCGGAACCCAGCGGGCTGAGCTGTTCTTGCTAATCCTGTCCACTGGGAGGCACTGTGGAGGATGCTACGGGCTTTATGGCCGTTGGGAAGAGGGCGCCCTCTGCTGTTTACACGCCATGAAGAAGACTCCAACAGCCTGGTGGTGGGAGGGCTAGTTCAGGAGGTCACTGAACATGAGCAGGTGGTCTACGGCGCTAGGGCCCTGGACAGGGGTCCTGTAAGAAACGACACGAGTGAACCGAGCCCCACACCCGGACAGCCTGGTCGGCGCAGCGGGCGCGGGTCTTTGAAGGAATCACGCAGGGTCTGCAGACAGCGTTTTCTCTAACGGGTCACACAGCCATTTCCTAGCGAGAAGGAAGCCAAGCAGTGTGGCCCGAGGGCACTGAGGACGGCATGGGCCCTTGGTTTCCTCACGTCCACCCCACGTCCACTCCAGCTAGAGCCCCGTCGCGTGGTCCCTTCCTAGAACCTGCGCCCACCTCTTCCACAGTCTGCCGGGAACTGACACGGCTCATCACGTGTGTGCACTTAAGGAGGCATAAGTGCCGGAGACCAGATTTATGTTTAAAATATAGAAAAATTACAGACACAGAGGAGCCGGAGATGCAGCCGCTAGAGGGATGCGTGTGTGAAGGCCTGAGTCGCTGTCTGAGTGTCGGTGACTCTGACCGCTGGGAACCTGAGGGATTGGCTGTTACCCTGTAGCTTCCTGTCACAGTGCTAGTGAACGTCTACGCGTTAAGTAATCACATGAACTATTGACTCTCAAAACGTCAATTTTTTACTTTTAAGTTTTGATCTTTTCTTAAAAGTCTGAGAAACCCTGCAGAACCTCCCTTCCCTGTGCACGCACACCTGCCGGAGAGCACACTGTGCTTTGGGAAAGTCGAGACAGAAAGGATACGATTGAAAGAACTAAAGACAGATGAGAGGGGAGAGCAGAGGGAGCTGCTGGGAAGGGACTACATCCCGAGGACCCAGGCATGCGCTGCTGTGCACGTGGCTTCGTAAAGACATTTTCTTTTCAGATGACACCTCCGTTCTGTTCCTGCTCAGTGAGCAGGCTTTTAAAGGAGGACGATGCCCGTCAGTCTTACTTGAGTTCCTGCGAGCTGGTGGCCAGCATGCTCCGGATGCTCTTGTCAGCCAGCGGGCAGCCCGACAGACTGTAAGACAGGCCAGAGAGTCCGTGAGTAGCCTCCACCAGCTGGCGCTCCGAACAAACACACACAAAATTGAAATTAAAGTTTAATGCAGAAAAGCGATGGGGCAAGTGCTGTATGTTGACTTTTTATAATTAACTCTGCATGTAAATTTAAGAAAACAGGTCTGTTCAGTCACTTTTTAAAAAAGATAAAAATACTTGTGCTCTTTGGTTGAAATGTACAGAATTTTCCCAATTTAGGTAGCTTATTTTCCAATAGAGCACATTCCACAACACACCCATCAGCACACTGTGCAGGTCAACATGGAGCACTGCGCGGGCACACACAGTCAACGTGGGGACTTGGACAGCATTGTTGAGGTAAGCTGAAAACAATAAATTGGAAAGACAGGATCCACCATGAGGAAAATGAAGGCACACCTTCTATGTGAGGCGTAATTACCAGTCACATGACCACTCCCATCACACCTGGGTGTTGGACATCTGCCACCAAACAAAAACAAAAACAGCCAAAATAGTAAGTATGTTTAAAAAAACTTGTAAAAAGTTTCATTGTTTCCAGTTTAGCTGCAATGTCTGCAAGGGGTTGGCGCCCTGGAGAAGCTGCGGATACGCGGTTGGATGAGGATGGCGGCTCCGCGGCCCAGAGCGCGGGAACACACGCGAGGCCATGTGGCGGTTGCTCTGCCGCCCTGGCCGCTGGGGACATCTACACGCTGCGGATGTCGCATGCTCAAACGGCAAGGCACGCACAGGCCGGTTGTAAGTAGCAAAGAGAGGGCGCGCGGAGGGGAGCCCGCGCCAGGCTTACGTTATCAGATCCTTCTTGCTCTCCTTGCACTGCGGGTACTTGGGCTTGGGGCTCGGGATGGTCACCTCCCCCGGGTACCTTCTGTCTTCCAGCGCGTCCTGGAAGGGGTCCAGGTCCTCCGGCTGCAGGCGAAACACAGCGTCAGCCACACCGAGGGCGGCTCAGTGCACAGGCAAAGGCCCGTCCCCGCGGGCGCTGCCTCTCACTTCCCCTCTCCCGACTTTCCCTTCACAATCGCGTTACCTCTTTCCCCTCTGAAAATGCAGACGGAAATTTGTTCCGTCTCCCTTTGGGGCTGGCCCTTAATATCTCATCTGCTCTAGACCACTGGAACTCCGGGAGCTTGTCACTGGCAGGGCCTTATGCACACGAGGGACAGAAGTGGTCTGGCCACAGGGACGACCTCACCCAGCGTCCCACCTACACAAGGAAGCGGGTGCCTGCTCCACAGGCCGCTCCATCCCCACGCTGCCTGCACGCTTCAGGGCTGCACCTGAGAGCTCAGAGCAACCACTGGCTCCTCACTCTCCCTGGGCCCTCAGCCCTGTTGCAGCTTTAAATCCTCCTCAGCGTTTTCTTTTTTATAGGAAGTGGGTCCAAGTGTCATGACCTAGATACTCCTATAGGTGGCGCTGTTGAGCAGACGTTCTCCTGAACAGGAGGCGTTTTCGCTTCCGGCGGGGCAGGCAGTGTGCACCATGCAATGCTCCTGTCCACTTACGGGGCTTCCTATTAATGACAGTAAGTCCGGAGCTCCCGCTGCCTGCTCTGTGGCCCTAGTGACTGAACTGAGGCGGAGGGAAGCTCTGGGATTTAGCTCTCAGTCAATCTGAAGAATAAGAACAATAGGCTCTGAGGGCGAAGGGCCCTGCAGAAAGATGCCTTTCCCTCAATCCCTACAAATGGCCCATGTTTCCTTTCTCTCCACCTCCTAGTTTCTAGAATGGTGGTTCTCAACCTTCCGGCCCTTTAAATACAGTTCCTCATGTTGTGACCCAACCATAACATTATTTTCGTTGCTACTTCATCACTGTGATGTTGCTACTGTTATGAATCGTAATGTAAATATCTGATATGCAGGATGGTCTGAGGCGACCCCTGTGAAAGGGTCGTTCGACCGCCAAAGGGGTCGCGACCCACAGGTTGAGAACCGCTGTTCTAGAAGATGCTATTGCTTTCATGTGGTCTTCCCACTGCATTAAAATAAATGTTCATTTTTCAGTGAATAGAGAAAAATGTTATGACTTTCAGGATTAAAACACTAGAGAGAAAGGTCAGGCCAGTAAAAAACAAGTTTTTTTTCATTTCTTTCTTCAGTCTAAAGAATACTATAACTATTTAATAAGCTGAATTTGAACATTATAACGACTTTAAAAACAGGTTCTTGCCAGAGGTGTTTTGGTAAAATGTGGATAAAGGCTCAGGTGACGACGGAGCTACACGGCCCTCAGGGCTGGGCCTGCTCTGCGCTCCAGGTCCTCGGAGAGCAGACCCCCCTGGGCTCCAGAGCTGCGCGGAGGCGCCTCTGCGTTAGACAGGGGGTCCCCCGAGAGGGGCTGGCCTGCCGCTGACACATTTTCTCAGAGAAACTGTTTGTAAGAAAACACACTGTTTAGAATACAAAGTTCATCCTTCAGAGAAGTCAGTGGTTTGTTTCACCAAATCCATGCTGGTCACAAGTCCTTCCTGAGTCAACAGCGCAAGTGCCTAGAGCCTCACTAGCTACAGGGCACAGGAGGGAGGAGGCAGCTTTCCCAGGCGAGGGCAGCGCCGCCTCCCAGGACACCAGCTGGGACCGAGGCAGTGGCTCGGGGGGCTGGGGGGGGGGGTGGGAACCTACAGTGATCTCCTTGGAGTCGTCCTCGTCTACCCTTCGGGCCTTCATCTTGGTATAGTCCACGGGCAGGTCCCAGCAGTCCCCCTCGCCCAGCGGGAAGCACCGGCTGCTCATCACGGCCTGCTGCTGCGGGGACATGGGCTCCAGCGGGGTCAGGATCGGGCAGCAGCCCTCCCTCGGCCTCTGCTTGTTCATGCTCAGGTCCAGCGTGCCGTTCTCGTCCACCTCCATGTCAGGGTTCTGTCGGCAGAAAGACAGGTAACCATGCGTTCCATCCCCGACTGCAGCCCGCCTCCAGCCAGCACAGAGCACAAGAGAAACTGCTCACCATCCCACGTACATAAGCCCCAGGCGAGGAAGCTGAGGTGGGTCCTGCTGCCCGGGCTCCCAGGCTGCACGCCTGCGTCCTGTCTTCTGACCCATCGCTCATCGACCATCTACCCATCCCCCATCCATCCCCCATCTGTGTACCTATCCATCGTCTATCTGTCTATCACTTATCTACCTACCCTTGTCTGTCATCTACTGATCACACCTATTATCTACCTACATCTTCCTTTCTCCCAGTACATCTCTGCTTCTGGAAAAATCAAACACATGCCTAATTTCCATTCCATTCCACTTCAAATACCTATTAAGCGATCAGAATTATAATGTGTATAGAATACATAGTTATCATTAAAACTATATAAACTTAAAGTGGATATATCCTTAAAAATTCTCCTTTGGTTTCACTGCTGCTGAATAGTTCAAGCCTCAGAGCAGGAGAAAACAAGAGAGGGAGGTCTGGAGGGGAAGGTGGGAATTCACTTTCTAACCCAAAGCCCAGGAGGCAGAGGCTTCCACGCTGCTCAGAGCGCCTGCGGCTGTGACTGGCCCGGCTGCTCTGCGTCCAGCAAACCTGCAATGCAGTCAACTGGCTAACAAAGAGGGCCAGGGTGAGCTCCCTTTTTAAAAGATGCTTTGAAACAGATCAAGGATCCTTCAGAGCTCAGCCCTCCAGAGGGGAGAAGGAAGGGCGCGTGAAGGAGAGAGGGAGGGAATCAGCAGAGGGGAGGAATGGCCCCGCGAGAGCTGGAGGGACACAGCGGCCTGAGCTGAGCTGCTGCTGCCGCCTGACGTCACGGCAGCGGGAGGTGCCTGGAGGAGGCCCACCCTGGGCTGTTCCCTGACAAATGAGAGAGCATTATTCTGCCTCAGCTCTTTGTCACACTGCCTTGGCCTTCATGATGCCGCCTTCAATTCTCTCAGTCTTAGTTTAATTGTAATGAAGTACAAAGATGGGAGGGGACAGTCTTTTCTTTTTTTATTGTAGAACTTCCTCCAGGGCCGCCTCCCATTGAGCAGCCCTGGTCCTTTCCCAAAGTCTAGGGATAAAAACACGAATAAAAACGCATTTGTAGAACATGACACTGCTGGCCTTTCTCCCTTCATACAGATTCCCCTCACTCAGAACTGCTGGCAGGTGTGAGGCCGTGTGCACGCGAGCAGCTCCAGGCAAGGCTCCTCCTCTGCTCCTAGAGAGGCGGCACCACCCCTGCCTGCGCACAGGTCCTCCGAGAGCACCCCCTCGTGGCCTCGCCCGGCGGCTCCCTGGCTGCCATCTAACCCGCTCTCCTGACCTGGGCACAAGCAATGAGTCATGGACCAGAAAATCAAAATGATAAACCACCACAAAGACTGGTTTCTGAGCTGATGCAAGCTGCTGTACCTGCCAGACTGGCCCCTGTGGACATCGGATTTGCACTTTCCTTGTTCCCTAGTTCTGGGTGACTTGCTGGGAGCACAGCAAGGGGACAGGCCTGCCTTTTATTTGACAGCTGTCCTTGTATTTGAAAGTTCAAGGCATGTTGGGTCTTGAGGTTCCTGGTCCCTCTGTTTACAGACATGAGCCTGGATCTTACAGGGGACACAGGCATTGAGTGCAGCAATCGCAGGCACCTGGCCCCTTCCTGACCACGTGCCGGGAAAGCTGCTCCGGCAGAGGTGGGCGGTCACCCAGAAGGGAGGCTCAGTGAGACGGCGTCTCAACTTCTGCCCTGTGTCCTGAGGGGCCAGTGTGACCTCGGGGGTGGACGGGGCCCGCCTGCCTGCCCGGCAGGTGTGCGTACCCGTGTGGCACACAGGTCCTGCGGCTTCGTGGACAGGTTCTGCGGCATCTCGCGGCAGCGTGTGGACAGGTTGAGGATGGCGGTGGCCGCCATGTGGGCTGCCTCCATGTCATGCGTGTAGTCGAAGCTGCTCTTGCTGCAGGTGCTGCTGGCGCTGCTGCCGCCGCCACAGCTCAAGTTGCTGCTGCTGCTGGGCGCGTAGCTGCTGGCGGTGCTGCTGCTGGGGCTGGCGTCCTTGCAGTACCGCTTCGCTGGGGAGACACGGGCAGGGTGACTCGGGTACCCGCCAGGTCATGCGCCCTCCACCCGCACCCCCAGCCCTGCGCGTAGACACACATCACATGGAGGCGCGGAGCCAAGGGCTGACTCATGAGGAGCGAGCCACCTGGCCTGCCTCCTGGGACACCACGCGCCACTGACTGAGCTCAGCTGGGACAGTGGGGACATAGTGCCCGGTCCCTCCCATGAGTGGCACTGGCATGTGCCTCACAGGCTCACACCTGCTGGGACTCAGTCACCAGGGTGTCTCCCCTCCTGGTTGAGGCCCAGGAGGCAGCCTCCCTGGCAGGACTGCTCATCAGTCACTGGGTGAGGGGACCCAGCTGCTCAGCTCACTGGGTGGGGGGGACCCAGGCTGCTCAGCTCATTGGATGGGGGGACCCAGCTGCTCAGCTCACTGGGTGAGGGGACCCAGGCTGCTCAGCTCACTGGGTGGGGGGGACCCAGGATGCTCAGCTCATTGGATGGGGGGACCCAGCTGCTCAGCTCACTGGGTGAGGGGACCCAGCTGCTCAGCTCATTGGATGGGGGGACCCAGCTGCTCAGCCCTCTGGAGACTGGCCACTCCCACCGGGAGGGGCTGCGGTGGCCAATGGGGCTCACTGTCCTGCACCCGGGCCACCTGTGAGGGCTGCGCTTTGGGGAGTGGCATTCAGGCTGGGTGTGCAGACCAGACAATGTAGCTGAACATCCTCTTCCTCAAGAACAGTCACCCTGTGATTCTCACAAAGGGCCACGTGGGGGAAGGTGATGGCTGAGGGGGCGCACGCCCTTGGACTTGGGTGAGCCCGAGGTAAATGCACCAGCAGAGTGACCATGACCGCTCGGGGATGCGCAGACACGCCCTCCTTACAGGAATGGCCTCGCCTCCTGCCCGGAGCGTCGCTTACAGGTTATCTTTCTGAGCAGCCAGCTCACCACCAGCCCGACAGGCTCCTGGGCACAGCATGCCTCTGAGTGCCCAACGTCCCACTAGCACAGTGGACGGAGGCATCTGCTGGAGGGTTTACGAGCACTGCCCATTATCACTGCAGGGGCGTTAATGCCCCAGGTCAGGCCTCTCCCCCAGAGCCTGGCCATGAGGCTCCTGGGAGATGAACCTGGAGGTGCTGGCAGACCCCGTGCAGTGTCCTAAGCCCTCCACCAGAGAGCCACCCTGTCTCGCACCTTCTTCCCCAGTGAGCTCAGGGGCCCTGCGTGGGCGCGAGGTCCAGCGGGACGTAGTGATGGGGTGCATGCAGGGGCCAGCTGTGCTGCGGCGCCTGGTCCCACCTGCATCCCTGTGACAGCAGCCTGACCTGCTCTCACGGTTGTCCCCAAACAGTCACTGGTGGGTCAGTACTAAAGGCCCAAGGAAGCCCTGCTCAGAGCTGCCCCGGCGGGAAGAAGCAGACACAACTGAACGGAGTGACAATAACCCCACACAGCCAACAAGCTCGGACATCATGAGCAACGCCATGGAGCTGCCCCAAAGCGCCTCATTCAGACACAAATGGAGAAAGAACTGAGCTTCCGTAACTCTCGGCTTTGCACCGAAGCCCGTGCCGTCCTGACCTCGCAGACGCTGCTCACTGTTCCCACCTGGCCACGGGTGATGCAGGCGGCCACCGACTGCTGCGCATCCCAGCCCCGGACAGAGCCACAGACACTGCACACGCAGCTGACCCCCAGGGCCAGGTTCCCCGATGGACCGGAGGCCAGCCCCACATCAGGCCCACCAGGCACGCGCAGCGGCAGGCGAGTGACCTCTATCCTGCCCCGCGCCTCCGCCGAGAGCCAGTGCTCACGCCCTCGGGGCCAGGCCCTGGGCCTTCCTCCAGTCCCCTGCGAAGGTGCCTTATCTCAGCAGCACAGGCCACGGGGCAGCAGGGCTCGGGGCTGGGCCCCGAGGGACCCAGAGACAGTCCCAGGAGGCCGCCCGGGGCCTGCCTGGAGCACATCGAGGCGGCAAAGCCAACTCGCGGCCCAAGATTCTCTCTCAGGAATGGAAGTTTGTGGTTTTACGTCATCCCCGCATTTGTTAGAAAAATTCTGGGAGGAATAAAATAATACTATTAAGGTGTGTTTTTTTCTTCCTGACGAGGGCTAGCCACTGGCTCAGGGAAAAATGTGCTCCACACAAAGAAGAAACAGGGCACGTTGTTCAGAAATGAGTGCTATTCGAGTTCTAGAAGGAGCAGGACAACACGCGTCTACGCAAACACCGCAGCCCCTTGGAAAAGGGCATCCCCGTCACTGAATGCTTAACCCGGGGCTCCTCTGGGCTCCGCCGGGAGGGGCCTGGACCAACTGGGACCGCACACCCTGTGGAGTGGGGAGGAGAGAGGGGGAGAGAAGCAGCTGGGCAGCCAGGCGTATCCCTTCACTAAATGCCATCGACTTTTTCTTTTGTTTTGCTGCAATGAAATAAGAGTCTCTATCCTTCAAATCTTTCAGGTGATGAAGGCCTCGTCCTAATAATTATCTGTTAAACTTTGACAAAACCTAGTGACAGTGACCTGGGACCACACTGTGCTGACACCAGGGGGCACCGCAGAGCCACAGGGCGTGGGGTGGCAGGTGTCTCTCCCAGGTGTGCTCTGGCCCCTCTGCCCCACCCAGGAGCCCCTACCTTGTCAGATGGGAGTACCTGATTCACCATAAAATGCACTGGGCTTTTCTTTTGGCAAACAAAGTGATGTTCAATTAAATCCCTTTCCAATTGGTCAGCAGATAAGAATGTGTTCATGTTCTAGGTGCCAGCGGACATGGGAATGACAGAGCTACACGCCTGCATGTGACACAGCTGTGTGCAGGCCACACCCCACGGAGCAGGACCTCCTCAGGCAGTCAGCGCTCTTGCAGGAAAAAGAGCAACCATAAGACATTTGTTTTGAAAAATAAATGAAATGGAAACAAAGCAAACACCTTCCACCAGGACCCTCCTGTCGCCTGCTCTGCTGGTGAGAGCCTCAGGGCCCTGGAATGGCCACCTGCTCTGTGCAGTGTGTGTGGAGCAGGCGAGCGTGCTGCATCCTGGTTTCCAGGGAAACAAGCACGTGCCTCCTGAGGATGTGCCCACCAGGGAGAGGACGGGTCGATGGGTGGACAGACAGGCAGATGGACAGAGACAGAGAGCAGTCAGGACGTGTCTGGTGCCTGAAAGAACAAGGAGGCTGCACCCAAGTGCTGAGTGTTTGGTCACAGCAGGTGGGACCTCAGGGCGATGAGCAGACGGGGAAGGCCCTGCGTTCTAGGCACCTGCATCTCTGCTCCTGCCCTGACACTGGCCCACCCACCACAGGCTCATTTCCCTCCGGCTCAGGACAGTGACGGAACCCCGGGGGCGCTCCTGGAGCTGAGTGCAGACCTCAGTCGCCTGTGGTGCCTACTGCCCGATGCCCGGGAGCAGGAGGGCTCCTCTCAGCTCACATCCACTGGGCCCTGGCCCAGCCCCTCACCCTTAGCGGCATTGTCCTCCATGCGTTCAAAGTCTGCCAGGCGCCTCTAGTGGAAGAGAAACGGGGTCACTGACTTCCTTCTCAGTAAATGTTTGCTAAAAGGGTGTCTTTCCTCTTCTCTTAGTTCACTAAGGACCTAAGAGTGGAGTTTCTATTCTGCTCTCGTTTTCTTGTTGGTCGGCTGAACAGCATGGCTCTGCCTCGGTCCTGACACCAGGCACCTTTCTGGGCAGGTGAGAATGTCGGGACTAACATGCTTGTGCCCCTTTAGAGCTGTCCCTGGTCTTCCCAGCAGGCAGAACGGTACCTCCACTCGACTCCGGGAATGGACACACAGCACTAACGTGCCCAACAGCACACAGTCCTCAGGGAAGAGCTGAGAACAGACAGGCAGGTTTGCCTCCTACCCCACCGAAGGCACTGCAACCCAAGACGCACTCTACCGGCCGCGCCCTCACCCAGCTAGCCCGGACAGCGGGGCAAGGACTCAGGCCACGGAGAACAGCTGCGACAAAGAGGCGGGTGAAAATGAACGAGCCAAAGCACTCATCAGATCTCTCAAAACTGGAAATGCTATCAACAGAATCCTTAATTATGTGAATTCAATTTCTTTTGATCCTTCATTTGCAATCAAATGAATGAAATAATAAAAACTGAAATTGGCAAATTATTACAAAATAAACAAAAATACTTATTTTCTATTATACTGTAAACCACTTTCTTTTCCCCATTTATATTAATTCCTATATATTAAGAATTGATACATGCAAAGATAATCAATATTTGATGCATCAGAGAAATACTCTATTCACTATACAAATTAATTGTTATTAAGGCAAAGAATGACTAACATAACTTTGAAAAAGGTGTAGCTACTCATATTGAATTATGAGACGGTTTCAGAACCCCCACCACTCAGCTGAAACGGTCTGTGTGCTGTGATTTGAATTCCGTCTCTCAGAGAGGAGCGTGCCCATCTCCTGCCTCACTAGAGAGCGCCAGGAGAGACTTCTACATCACCACAAGCTACGCAGCCCACATGCCAGTTAGTAAAACTTGCCAACTAAGTCATATATCCTGGAATTTAAAGTAGAATTGTGGTTAGATAAGTAAACGCCAAGATACGTGGTCTTCCCGTCTATTGTTAACCACTAACCACGATAACTGTGACCCAGGCACACCCTGGCGGTGGCTGAGCCCGCGGTGGACAGGAGCTGTGCTTTTCCTGACGCGATGGCAGGGTGCGCCCGTGACCCAGCTGGGCCCCACCAGGTGGCTCTCCCAGGCCCGCTCCCCAGGGCAGAACAGAGCAGGGTCCAAGCCTGCTTGAGGGGCTGGGACACCCTCGGAGGCTGTCCACCTTCAAATGCACAGAGCAATCGCGGTGACTTTAAAAATCCCACCACACAGGGAACACCTGAGGTTCTGGTTTGGCCGGGGTGGGAGCCGCCTGAGCGTCAGACTTCTAAGTCACTCGGACGACTCTGTGCACCCAGGGTTGGGAACATGGGGCGGGTGGGGGTGCAGACCTCCCCACACAGCCACGGATTTGGGGCCACTGCTGCCGGCTGTCCAGGTATCTGAGCTGGGCCACCAATCAAAGGACGTTTAGGAAGGTGAGGACATGGTCTGAGTGACAGCAGGGGCAGAGGAGCCGAGGCTCTGTCCACACCCGCAGCCCTGCTCCCCACCGTGGACCCCTGGTTCTGAGGAAGAAGCCCAGGGTGGCGTGCTGTCCTTTGGTGCCCAGCAAGTGACCACATGCGCGACCGGCTGGTAGGAAATGGATATACACAACAACAACATCATCAAGGCAAGCGTGACTCTCATGTATAAGAGTGTGCACCTCCTACCATCATATCCTTTGGGGGATATGTCCCTGGTTTGCACCTTGGGAGCTATGGCCCGCTTGCCGTACGTGTGGCTGTCGTAACTGTTGTACTCAAACGACGTCTTGGAGTATTTCTCCAGCTCTTTGGCCAGGTTGGAGCGCGGCGTGGTCGTGGGGACGTTGTTCCTGTAGCCGTAGTGAGGGATCTCGAGCTGCTTTACAAAGCACATTGGCCTGTAAGCAAACAAGAAACAATCGACAGCTGGCTTTTTCGGGGCCGCAGGGGGACGGGCTCACGCTAACGCCAGAGCAGCTAGCTCTCAGCGGCACTCGGGCCTGGAACCTGGCATGGAAACCACGCCCTGCTTTCCCAAGAAAAAGCCGCGGCGCTGTCATTACACAGCACCACATACGCTAGCCTCCCGACTGTCAACTCTGGCAACAAGAAGACGAAAACGGAACTAACTTTCCCGTTTCCCTTCTCCTTTCCTGTCTTGGTGGGCTTGGTGAAGAGACAGGTGTGAGGACAGAAGAATCGCAAGTCCATGTGTTTTCTTCTGCAAAGAGTGAGAGTCACACTCACATGCAGGAGCTAAGGAGGCATTTTCCCTTGGAGAGAGAGGAAATGAAAGAAGTACTCATAGGGCCACAGGCCGAGCGAAACTAGATACAAATGTGTATGTCTGGGCAATAAAATGGAACATGCAGTAATATATTCTGACAAATATTAGCCTACAGTTTCAATATTTTTACCTAGGAGCCATCCATTTTCCTAGATTTTAGAGTGAATTATTTAAGGGGAGGAGCCTTCTATTATTATTCATTATTTAAGATTCCATTTTGTTGTGTGTGTGTGTCCAGCTCTCTCTCTCTCATAAGTGGAATGTTTAAGCTCTTCTTGGAAATTAAGACGCACAGAAGAGTTCTTCCTTTGCTCAGCTTCCCCTCATGTTAACACCTTTATTTACCAAATCACCAAGCACTTACTTTGATGTCATGAACTTGGCTTATTTACTTGTCAGTCAACAAAACAAGGAAGCGATTAGCTGAATGCCCATTATTTGAGGCATTTGCCAGGTAGTATGGAGGGTGTGGCTGCATAAAAGACTAAAGCCCCCAGCTTTGCCTCAAAGATCCCGGGCTGCACTATTGTGTGTGTGTGAGAGAGAGAGATACACTATTTTAAGAGCCAGTGCTGCGGGGATTCTGGGGAAGGGAGGCCTCTTCTGGCTGTGAGATTCCATCTCCGCGGAGAAGCTGGAGCCAGCTTTACAGAACAGGTAAACCACTAAGGCAATGGTTCTCAACCTTCCTAATGCCGCCACCCTTTAATACAGTTCCTCATGTGTGGTGACCCCCAACCATAAAGTTATTTTCATTGCTGCTTCATAACTGTAATGTTGCTACTGTTATGAATCGTAATGTAAATATCTGATATGCAGGATGTATTTAGGCGACCCCTGTGAAAGGGTCGTTCGACCGCCAAAGGGGTCGCGACCCACAGGTTGAGAGCCGCTGCACTAAGGGTATGATCAGGGTGTGAGCACAAACATTCCCAGAAAAGAAAAACAGTCGGAAGGTGAGGCGCGTCTTGGGGAAGCACAGGAGACTGGTGCCGGGGCAGATGGGAGTCTGTTCATTTGCTAGTGGGGCTGGGCCGGCTCAGCGGAGGAGCCTGGGCAGAGGCCTCAGTGCGAGGCAATCCTGGGTGAGAAAATGGAGGTGGATGGGCCCAGCAGAGGAGAGAAGAAATGTGGACAGGACTGGGCGTACTTACTCAAGTCTTAAATTCCTGCTGGAAATCTATTTAAAGATTTAGAAAAACCATAATTATTTAAATGATTGTAGGTTTAAATGCTTTTCCTTTTCCTTCCTTCCTGGCTCTGTCCTCACCCGCTGAGCAAGCCTCTCTGTGTGTGGACACTGTGGGAGGACACGGGTGATGGAGAGGGACCAGCCTCACCTGGAGCTGGGACCCAGCGCTGGCATTGCCCATGGGGGCAGAGGGGGCGGAGCCGGAGACGAGGCCTGGCTGCAGGCCCTTTCCTGTGTTAACACCCTCCTCCCGGCACCCCGGCCTAAGGAACTGTTTGCAGATGCACAGCTGTTGGCACCTGGCCTTGCTTTGCTGTCACTTGCTGTGCTTCTCCACTGTGTCCACCCAAAGAAAGGAGCAGCAGAAACAGCATAAAAGCTGCTGTTTCAGGCTCAGGTCAGATGGAGGCTGCGTCTAAACAGGTTTGCAATCACGGACGCATCTCATCCCTCTCAGCTGCCCTCTCCATGCGGGAGCGCGGGCTCGGGGCTGCGAGGGACTCAGCTGTGATGTGTGGAGGGCCGGGCTCTCGCCTCGGTCTCCCTCTGCCTTTCCTCAGAGTCTCCCCTGGTGAAGAGCCATCCCTTCTCAGGTGGATTGCACCCAAGGTTTTGGGGGGGGGGGGCTCTTGTGCTGCCATTATTAACAGTGAGTGGGCTTGGGCTCTCAGGGGCTCGCACTTATTTGTCAGCCTTACTTTCTGTGAGATGACAGAGTTGCAGGTACCCTGGGGACATCAGACTGTAACACCCTCACAGAATAGTCTACAGCGGTTCTCAACCTGTGGGTCGCGACCCCTTTGGCGGTCGAACAACCCTTTCACAGGGGTCGCCTAAGACCATCCTGCATATCAGATATTTACATGACGATTCATAACAGTAGCAACATTACAGTTATGAAGTAGCAACGAAAATAATTTTATGGTTGGGGGTCACAACATGAGGAACTGTATTTAAAGGGCTGGAAGGTTGAGAACCACTGGTCTAGAAGAATGCATGCCAAGCCTGACTGAGGGGTATCTCTGAATGTCAGGACCACAGATGGTTTTTCTTAGTTTTGTCTATTTAAATATTTCCCACTTTCTAAAAGGATTTAACTTTTCTATTGAGTTGAAGGGCTATGGCAGATCCTCTCTGAACTGGGAACCACACTCAACAGACCACAAAGGTGACGTGTCCTCTGCCTGGTGACTGCGTCCACAGGATCTGTCCCAGAGGACACGGTAACAAAGGCAAGACTGGGAATGTGTGTGAGTTGTGTGAGTGTGTGCGAGTATGCGTGTGTGGTTGTGTGTGCACGAGTGCACGCGCGAGTGTGTGAGTGTGTGCGAGTGTATATGAGTGTGTGTGTGTGTGTGCGAGTGCATGTGTGTGTGTGTGTGAGGGTGTGAGGGCTGTCTCTCTCTCACCCTCCCTGGCTCCAAGGCAGGGCCCGGCTCTGGCCATGTGGACACACTGACTCCCACCTTGTGTGAGCTGGGGATTAAGCAGCAGGACCTGCAGCTGTGGGCATGGTGCTCACGGGCAGACATGCAAGCTGATGTAGGGTGAGCGAGTGTGGGTTTCTCCCTCTCTGCTCTTTTCTAAACTTGATACACGGCGGGCTAAGCCTGAGGGTGTCTGAGGACTTTCCTGGTTTATCCTCTAATGAGGTCTGGGGCAGGTCAGCCCGCCCTCTCTGCACTGGGTGTCTGAGGACAGGGGAGGGCAGCTCCGGGCTCCCACGCAGGCCGCCTCCAGGCTGGCAAGGGGGCTCCATCACTGATGTGCTGGAAGGAAGCACTGCTGCCACCTGCAGGTGGTGCCTGGCCTCTCAGCCTCTTAGGACCATCCTCTGGGGCAGCATCAGCTGGGAAAGCCCCACCCAGCCTCAGCCAGGAGCTACGGGGAGAAAACCAGAACCGAGCTCCTCACCGAAGCCCAGGAGCGGAGTCACCTCCTGCCCACAGGCCCGTTTGGTGTGGGGGGTGCTGGGTCTCGCTCCTAGCACAGCGCTCTTTAGCTTCCCGCCTGCCCCTGAGCCTGGCATCGCCTCCTACACAGCCCCGAGCTGGCGGGAGGGCTGCCTACAGGGACCCGGGGCACCGCACACTCTGAGCTGTACCTGAGCACCCGGTCTGAGGCCGGGCTGGACTTGGACACGTCGCAGCTCTGGTGCTTTTCCTGGGCCTTTGCCAGCTTCTCCGCTGCAGCAATAGGGCATCCAGAGAGGCTGCAAGCACAGAAAGGGGTCAGTTGTCTCCCTGAGGGCTCCACACACCACCCCCGACTGAGCCACCGCCCCCTCCCTGATCAGCACAACCACATCCTCGCAGGAGTGGGGGGTGATTTCCCAACCTGTCTGCTCTCCTGATGGTGGGAACGCGAGAGTGGGTATTCCCTTCCCCCAGCAGACAGTGCTGCCTGCTGGTGTGCCCCGTGTGAAGTGCACCTGAAGCTTTCTCACGCCAGCCAGCCAGGCCCAAGACATTCAAGAGAGTGTAAGCCAGTCGGTGTCAGACCCAGGCTCCCTTCGGGGATGGTCCCCGGGTCTGGAGGAGGGACTGGCCGCGGGGCAGGCTGTGTCTAGTGGCCCAGGCAGGGCAGCTCTCTGGCTGGCACCAGAGATGGAGGTCTAGGCCGACCCCCAAGCACCACTGACCACAGTGCATGGCTGGTGCCCCTGAAGAGAGACGGGGGGACAGCAGGACAGTCCGAGGCCCGCTCGCTGGAAGAGGCTCTGGAGCTGGATGCTCAGGTCCTTCCTGAGACCGTGGTGTCTGCTGCCTGTGTGACTGCACAGTCCATGAACCACAGGCACCGTGGACCTCCCTCCCTGCACGTGGGGTGGGGTGAGATCTGACGGAGGAGCTGGTCTGTAAACGCAGCTTCGAGTCACGCTCAGCATGACCCTTACTCCCATTGCTGCCTCCTTTGCAGCACACGCCCAGGACACACCCCAAGGGCTGGGGGTGGCGGGGCTGTGATTTGATTCATTATAAATTTAACACAAGTGACCACATTGGCCAGTGGGAAGAGCCAGCAGTAGAGGGACGCTCCCAGCATTTAGGCTTAGAGGTGTGTTAGGTGTGTGGTGCTGGACAGGCTGCAGGGCACACTGGGACAGAACCGCTCTGCCTACGGCCAAGGAGCACCTGATGGAAGGGCTGCGCTCCGTGGGGGTGAGAACAGGGAGGAAGGAGGAGTGGACTTCACTCAGGGCCAAGCATGGCTGTGAGCGGGAAGACAGCAGTGGGCCAGGAAGGCTGCTGATGCTGCTGATGCCACCCCCGGGCAGGGTCCAGCAGAGCGGGGCAGCCCGGCTCCTTCCTGGATTCCAAGTCCCGCCCTGTCTGAGGGGTGGACCCAGTCCCTCCTGACGGGCACAGGGAGCCTGTACTGTTTCTTCCAGTTGCACATGGTCATGGTTCCCTCAGAGGTCACAGCGAGGACGGAGCCTCCCGGGGGGACTGTTGCCCATCCCGAGGTGGGTGCGACCATTAAACCTCCCATCTGTGACGGGGTCTGAGCACCACACGCCGAGGGCGATGGGACTGAGTCTCCATCCTCTGGATGAGGGTGCGTCAGGGCGGGGAGAGACGGGGCTCCCGGGGCCCCCCTGCAGGCAGGGCGCAGGGGCTGTGCTTACCTTCGGTGAGAGTTCCTGTTGCTATTTACATGCCCGCGCCCTGTGCAGCCCGGAGTAGGACACTTGAGAACATTCTCATGCATGGCAAGAACTTGACAGGGAGAGCAGAGAAAACACGCGGCATTAAAACACAGCAACGGTCCAGGGACAAGAGGACGCAGTCATTCTAACAAAATGGCTCGTGTACGACTGACGGGCCGGCAGACATTCGTGATGGGCATGGTCGGGGGAACACGTGGGAAGGGGGAGAAGGCTCATCTGGGGGGCATGCAGAGCGGGGTGTGCTGTGTGGGGGCTGGAGGTTGGGATGTGAGGACGTCCCCAGCGCAGCCCATCTGCCCCCCACACGGAAGCACTGAGCACCTGATCGCCAGGCAGCAGCACGCAGACCAGACGGTTCCAATACACGCCTCTGCCTCAGAAAGTGTCATCAGGGCATGGTGGCCATGGTGACAGGAACCCCAAACCTTATTTTTAATGAAATGAATTAAATGGTGGCTTTCCACCTAGGAATTGAACACTTTATTCTTCTTCAAATGAGTGAGCTGGGATAGTCAGTGCTGCGCTGCTGGGCCGGGAGGCCAGCGAGGGGACTCGGTCGCCCGCTGTGGGGCCCGGGAGTGGCCAGCGGTCAGGGGCGTGCTCAGCTACTCGCCGTGGCCACGGTCAGGCTGTGTGCACAGCCTTGCTCCTCAGTGGACAGGCCACTGCTCTGGGTGGTGGGGAAGGCAGATGGGGGTGAGAAGTGAGGGTGGGCAGTCAAGAGAAGTGACCCATGTCACTGGCCCAGCACACTAGGCTACCCCCTCCCGGAGAACACACGGCAGGAACCTGTGGGAGCGTCCCTCAGAGTGAGGTTTGCCTAATGGAGGTGGGCATGGAAGGCCCCCTAAAAACAGAGTCTGCCCAAACGAGTTCCATGACTACTTTCTACAAACCTCTTTCCTCCAGGAGTCTCCCTCTGTAGCGTGCACAGCGTCTGTGCTCTGCCACACAGGAAGCTTATTACTCAGGCCACATCGCATCCCTCACTCTGGACAGTTCCTTAAATCTGGGTTTGCCCCTGCAGTTCTCAGCTGAGTCTGCAGTGATTGATGGGAGGGGCCTGTGCTGCTCCCTCGGGGACCTGTCTTCCGGGACTTGGCCCGCTCCCTGGGTCTCTGCCGGCTCGGAGGAGGCAGCACCCACCTGCCCTCTCCCTGCCTCTGGGTCCTGCTCTGCCACTGGGTCGCCCGCCGTCACTCACTCCTCACTCTCCTCTCCTGACCTCCTGCTGTAACGTCACACCGCTTCCCAGGACACTGCTTCTCTCCAATTAACACCGTTTTCCTTTCAAGCTAAAAGCTCTCAATACAGTCTCTCCTGGAGATGCAAACAGCCTCATGCATGTCCGAGGCTCAGCCCTCAAACTGCCTGCACCTGCGTCTCCTGCTAAGTGGCCACACAGAAGCCCACTTGAGAGTGGACCATCTGCCTCCCCTCCGCAGCCACGTCTCTCCTGCTCTTCCCCGCAGTCCTCACGTCCTTCTCCGGACCTTTTCACAGGTGTCCCCTGTGCAGACACTGTCCTCTCGGCCCGACTCCTCTCTACCTGCCTTTCGCCCTCTGCTCGTCTTCCCCTCGGGGCTCCTGTGCGCTCTTGCTTTAAGCCTCCTGTCTGGGCCCCTCCACTCGTTTCTACGTGCACCACTCAGAGGACAGACCCAGAGCAGCTGTGCGTCTGACCTTCTCCAGCCTCCAGGCCTCCCTCCCGCAGCCCCCAGGACCGTCAGCCCGCACTTCCCGTTTCAGAAAACAAGTCCAGGCCACGGTCTCCCTGTTCCTCAGCTCCCTGCGCCCATCGCTGCTGTCACCCCCTGATCGCGCTCCGAGGCAGGCCTTGCCTTCACCTCAGTCTGTCTGCCTCGCCCATGAGCCCTCTTCCGGCCCTGCCAGCTGCCCCGCCTCCTCCAGCCGGGCTCCTATGTGGACGGCTCCGGCAGCGGGCAGAGACTGTGTGGTTCTCTCTCTCACAGACAGGCTGAGCAGGACAGCAGTGAGGCCTGAGGTCCCTGGGGAAGGCCTCACCCCTGGTGTCTGGGGCGTGTCTGCAGCTGCTGTGGAGCCTGTCCCTAGAGGTCATGCCTGCCCTGTGGGGGCTCCTGGAGGACAGAGCGGGTCTCGTTCAGTGGGGCGGCCTCTGCTCCTCACACAATGTGTTGCAAACTGGGGCGACAGACCACTGTGTGGAGTCCACCTGGAGTGCGACTGTTTCCACTTCATGGTGTTCTAAGGAAGGACACGAGTCCATGTGGGAAGGGATCAGTGGGCCAGCGCCAGAGCTGGGCCCCCACTGTGCCGGGCGCAGGCGTGACAGGCGTGGCCTTCATCTGCGGCTGTCAGGACACGGCCGTTTCTGCTCCATTCAGGCTCTTCCCGGAGCATATGGAGTCAGGAGGATTGTCAGCCCTGAGGAGAAACCCATCTTCTACTCTGAAGGTGAAAATGTGTGCCTTACAGAGAAACGGCGTCAAGAGGCTATTTCTCTTAAGGCCCGAGGGCTTCGTCCTAATGCTTCATTTTGCAGATGAGGAAAACCAAGTGCAGAGCATGTGCCGTGCTCCAGGGCGCGGGCTGGTTAGGACGAGGCCGCTCAGACCAGGTCTGGGGACTCAGGTGGGTGCGGACCCGGATCTCGCTCAGGCATCTACCCAGCGGCTCGCACCTGCTCACGCTGGTTTGAAAAGCACTGAGTCTCTTCCACGCACCAGGCCTGTGCTGACTGGGAAGGAGGGACGCATGTGCGCCAAGGTTTCCTCATCTGAAAAGCCGCTGGCACTGCCTGCGGGCTGCACGCTCCAAGGGGTCTGATGAGTGTGGGCTGCGTGCACGGTGGCCCGGCTGGGGGTAAGCTGCTGCGGCCACATGCTGTCTCCCTGCTCATGTAACACACGGGCAGCGCGGTCCCCACTCCTGCTCTCGTCTGCTGACAGGGCACGTGCAGAAAACAGGCTTATTATTTTCAGCAGCCGTCTGAAAACGGAGTCCCAACCCTTCTAAAATACCTCCCCTGAACAGGCCCCGCTAAGCCTGTCCTAAGCCTCAGCTCCTGGGAACTTCTCCGGGTTCTGCCAGATGGGCCTCAAGTATCCCAAAGTCAGCCACTGAATGGGACCATCCTCAGAAGTCCCTGCAAACAGTCAGCTGGTCGTCTGGTCCCATCTCCAGCCAAGTGACTCCACTTCCCTCACTAGAAACTGTGTCTCAGACAATGAGGAAGATCCTGAGACTCACGATCAGGGTCTTAGACTCAAAGGTCATTTCTGAAAATGTGCCATTTCCCTGTGCAATCAGTTCTAATGGTTTTTAGCCCGGCCTTCGTGGCTCAGTGGTTGAGTGTCGACCTATGAACCAGGAGGTCACGGTTTGATTCCTGGTCAGGGCACAGGCCTGGGTTGTGGGCTCGATCCCCAGTGTGGGGTGTGCGGGAGGCAACTGATCCATGATTCTCTCTTATCATTGATGTTTCTATCTCTCTCTCCCTTTCCCTTTCTCTCTGAAATAAATAAGAATATATTAAAAAATAAAATAGTTGGAATACTTCATGTGCTGTGGGAAAGATAAAAATGTGTACATTGGTTCAGTTCTAAAGGAAATTTAGTTGTTTTAAAAAATTTTATTGCATATTCTCAGAACCTAACTGATTAAAATAAATGTGTGGGATCAAAACCCACCTGCTGTAACCCTCCTCACTTAAGATTTTATTGTGTGGAAATGGTGGGGCAACTATGACATGAAACAGACTTTTGGAATAAAATGCAATAAAATACAAATAGAAATACTGATGGACATTTACACATAATGGGTCCAGATAAGGGGTTTCCTCAAGGCTCCCACAGCTTCAAGCTGGGAGGGATGTGGGACCATCTGCACTCAGCTCTGCGCTGCTGAGGAGTCTGCCTGAGGCTGCGGAGCAGGTCAGAGTGAGCTGCGCCCCGGAGGCCAGGCCTGCCTGGGGGCAGAGGAAGCCGGGTGCCGGGCTCCATCCTAGGGCCAGTCCCGCAGGAAGGACACGAGGACACGCTGCCCGCGGAGGCTGAGCTCTAGAGCCTGCTGGCCCGTGTGCACTTGTACTGGGGCTGCCCGTCAGGACAGATGGAAATGACAGAGGCAAGAGAGATGACAGAAGGGCCGTCGGTGTGTGCGGGATCGTGAGGCAGACTTACTTTCCGGAGGGACCCTATCTTTGTGCGGGCATCCGGACAGGCTGCGGTGATGCGGGTACAGCCCAGTTACGTGGCCAGTTCCATCGCACCCTGGGGTTGGACACTTGCTCTCTTTCTTTTCTGCTCTCGAGGGATCTAAAAGCGACAACAGGTGTCAAGAGAGTGAATCCTTTACCCACTGACGACAATGTCTCACTTCACACTCTGAAGAGACCTTGATGAGTAAAGAGACAAAGCAGGTGGCAGGGAGACGCCGTGGCACCGGGCTTTTGCGTAGGTCTTGGCTTGGCGTGATTTCTGACCTTAAACAGTGTAATCATGAATCAGACAATATCTTGCTTTCTGTGCTAAAGAAAACAAGACTATCCCTACTGCACTCTTGTTTCCCGTGTGTTACATGATAAGCTCACAGAAACCAACGGAATGAGACAGTGACCTTCTCAGAGAACAAAGCCACCCCGTGGTGGTTGCGCAATTGCTGTGAAATTCAACCGTGGGTCCTGCCATCCAGACACCCTTTGGCAGATGGCTTTCTTGTGGAGTGTCTGATTGTAGACAACACAAGGGACAGGTTTGCTGGTGTTGAAATGTATTCTCTGCAACACTGCTAGGTAGCACGTCAATTTAGAGATTTTCTGAAAATAAGCTGAACTCTCAGAAGGCACTGCAAGCAAATGAGCCCAGAGGCGGGACCCGCCTGACGGACGTGCACTCGGAGCGGCCCCAGCGCGGCCGCGGGCACCGGTGGCTCCTCTGCGTGCACGGGACTGAGGAAGCCCGGGATGGACGCGTGCACGCAGGTCAGCGGCTCTGCAGCTGCTGGGGGAGGAGCCCGAGGCAGAAATGCAGCCATACTGCTCACATTTACTTCTATGCCCAGAGGGACCCAGTGCATGAACATGCAGAAATAACTCCAGAAATAGTCTAAGATAAAGCTCAGACCAAACAGCACCGTGAGTGTGCAGAACATTGTTTCTGAAAACCAATTGCACAGATTATCAACAGACAGTGAGTACTAGGACTTGATCCAGGGGTTCAGTGCTTTTATATTAATACTAGAGGCCTGGTGCAGGAGTTTGTGCACGGGTGGGGTCCCTTGGCCTGGCCAGTGATCGGGGACAATCAGGGCTGTCTCGCCCAGTCCCCGATCGGGGCTGGCCGGCTGGTGGGGGGGAGGGACTGTGGGAGGTTGGCGTGGGAGTGCACTGACCACCAGGGGGCATCTCCTGCATTGAGCGTCTGCCCCCTGGTGGTCAGTGTGTGTCATAGCTATTGGCTGGTCATCAGGTCATAAAGGTTGTTTAGGCTTTTATATATGTAGACTAGAGGCCCGATGCATGAAATTTGTGTAAGAGTAGGCCTTCCTTCCCCCAGCTGCCGGCACCAGCTTCCGTCTGGCACTCAGGACCCGGGCTTCTCTCTGGCCACCGGCAGGCCCCCGGGACCCAGGCTTTCCTTGCAGCCCCAGCTTCGTCAGGAAGGTCATCCGGAAGGACATCTGGTCTAATTAGCATATTATGCTTTTATTATTATAGATTTTATTAATCAAGCCAATCATGACTGTGAGAAACGTGTTTTACTTTTGATAAGTATTCATTTTATATAAAGAAAAAAGCCTGGCTTAACATTTTTAAAAGCCTTAAGGACTTTTCCTTGAGTCCTTCATGTAAAGGGAAATAGACAAAGGGCTGCAGAGACATCGACACCCTTTGTTTCTATAAAAGACCCTTTACTTGTAAGCTAGTGTGCGGCTCTATGGAACGTGGCTCTTCCAGGTCTGCAGTCTCTAAACCAGCGTTGATGCTGGCGAGTCCTAGATATGCTGTCTGCTGCTTCCTGACCTACTGGGGATCGTAGTCACTGGAAACAAATCTAAAAACAGGCTATTGTGATGTCAGCGTTGAGATGTCATGCTGGAGTGTCTCCTACATGCAACCCCGAAGCCTAGAGTTTCACTGCCTTGCAAGCAGTTTCATAATAACATCAGTATACATTAATTAATGTAAATACCAAAGCACACAGGAACAGTTTCATAGGAAAATGTTGATTAAGGTCATAACCTAGATATAAATGACTTTAAAGGACAAAATGCAACTTTTAACTATTATTAATAATTAAGTGTCTCTTTTTCATCAGGACACTTAAGATTCCTAACAAATCACTCACAGATTTTGAAAGTATTCTGAAGTCAAGGTCAGCTGTGTGGGCACAGTGTGGCTCAGACGGCCTCAGGTGCTGGAAGACACCGGGCATAATCTCCTCTCGATGTGTGAGCCGGGCTGGAGCTGCCACTCGCCCTCACCACTACGCCCCCTGCTTTCTTATTTCTTGCAATCCCAATTCGTCTTGAAGGCAAACACTGGAGCAAACACAAAACCACCCAGCAAGCAAACAGACCAACAATTCAACAGCAAACCTCGAAGCAATACCCAAAAGACTCGTGTGCTGGGCTCAGCTTGCTCCTGCACCCGTCCAGTGAGGCTTAGGAAGCAGATAAAGGCGTTTCAGGATGAACCTCTTTTGTTTTAGCTCAGGATTCTGGAAAGGTTACTGGTTTATCATTTACATCATTTTGAGACGATTGCGTCTAAATGAGAATGGTACGCATGTTCCCTTCATCTTTAATAAAATAGCAGAGGAGCCGAGAACAGACTGGACGCTCTGGCCGGAGGGCTGCCTGGCCGTGCTGGTGAGAAGCTATCTCTTTAAACAGGGCGTTCATCTCTTTGCCCGCTCTGGGTCCTTGCCTGGCCACACTAATTTGGCTCTGACAAAACTATGGTAACTTCACAAGAAACTGGGGCGGTGGGGAACACACTGACTGAGGAAGAAGGTCTGGAACAGCTGTGCAGAGGCAGGGTCCATGCCCTCCAGCTCATCTGGAAAGTCCAAGTCCCAGCCCTCCCTACTCCCGGGGAAAAGCATATCTCAGCTCTACCGTTCATGCCCACCCCATCCCCACTGGTTTAGGGGAAGCAAGCCATCAGAATTCCATTTCTTACAAAAAACAAAAACCATACAAAGCAACCATAACAAAACAAAACGAATCCATATCTACAGGAAACTCTGGGCTTAAAGGAGCCACGGAAACCAGAGGAGGGATGCCCCAAGGGCCCACGGCTCCGTGCGGAGCCCACCACAGTCCACTCTGCAGACGTCTAGGTCAGAACCCAGCGCGTGGCCACCTGAGCAAGCCCATGGCGGAGACACTATTTCTTCCTAAAAATGTTGAGATGATTCTCAAACATCTAACAAACCATTTCTAACAGACTCCACTATAGTCACAACGTACATGCGACCTGTCTTGGTCTTTACAGCACCAAAGCCAGCCCGAGGCTCCGCTGAGCGACACTCTGTGGCCTGAGCACAACCCCTTCCTCACGTCCACACCTGCCAAGGCTCTGCCTGCACCCGCATGACTGAGTCGATACCGGGCTCGATTCGGGTCAGGAGCTGCAGGCCTCTGGCTCAGGCCGTGCCCAGGGGACCTGGGGTGGTGCTGGCCATGTGCTGTGGGGCTACGTGCACATTGAGAGGAGAATACACACGATGTCACAGCAGAAAAAGCAGGTTTTCCTATCCTTTGAAGTTTACAGAGCAACTGATTTTCAAACCAAATTCCTGAACCTCACCGTCAGATCCCCGGGGAGGATCTGTGTTTATAAGGCATAGAATAGCAGATAACACAGAGGATCTTGTTTGGTGCTCATCTGGAGGGACTTAAGAAATCACCAATTTTATTCTTTAAATGGCTTCCTGAGTTCTAAGTGTCTGTAACTGAAACCTACAGTGCCCAAGGTCTACTCGAGGTTGTTATAACCTGCCTCCTTCTGAAAGGAGACACAGCGGTTATTTCAAACATGAAGTCAATTGCTCAGGTTGGAATATACATATTAAACACAGTGACTAATATGCATGTAATTAAACATAGAGATGTATGCAAATATGTGCTCACATACCTCATAAATACAAACCCACGAACACTTCCACACTGGGAGGCTCTGACTGTTTTATGATAAAGTCACCCCACAATTGTTTCCACACTGAACCGGATCAGTGAGGGGAGTGATTCTATGAGGAAACTGCTATTGCTCAGCCTGGGACACACACGCCCTGCATAGCCAATGGCTCCAGCCGCCAAGCACCTACGATAATTAATGTGCAGTGCCTGCCCTTGTCTTATGTTATCGGTCCTTCTGTTACTGTTCAATTTCTCTCAGGGATGTTTTCTATGGGGGAGGTTTTATCAGTAACTGTCATTCGATGATAATTTTATAAATCGTGATGTTTAGAAGATGCACGTTCCACCCCGACTGACTGCTGCATAGACCCTTGCCACTCAGACTGTGGTCCGTGTATAAGATCACAGCTCATCCTGATAGTTCCTACCACATGCACCAAGACATGCCTCTTCCACGGAAACATCCTGTTAGTCATCTGCTCTGCTAATATGACACTGAGCTGCGCTGTGTATTTCTCAGACATTGTATTTGCTCTTCAGAACCATAATCACAATCTGTAACTCTGGAATCGGCCCTAAGAAGTATGCATTAGAGATATAATTTACTGGGATGCACACTTAATTGTGGCCACATTGACATCTTTTACTCAGGCTCACGCTTTCACGAGGAACTTACGTAGGTAGAAATATTACCTTTACCATAGTATGGCTTTTTGACATGGCTGTCGCTGGGTTTGGGCTTTCTCTCCTCCCCGGGCAGCTGTCTTGGCGACTGCTCCTCATACGACCTCATACTGTCCCGCCTGCCAGCCTCCATGGCCATCTTCTCCCGCATGGCTTTCGCCCTCTCCGTTTCCAAAGCGATGGCTTTCTCCAGGAGGGTGAGGTTGCCCTTGGTCATGTCGAACACCTCCTCGGACCTGTCGGAGGTGACGGAGGCTGTGTCGTCATCTCTCTCGTGGTACCCGTCCTCCTTTGCGCAGCTGGAGAAAGTCCTCGACCTGGGGCTCAGCTGCTCCTCGAGCCTCATCAGGTTCATCATGTCCGAGTAGCTCCTGTCCGGCGTCCTGCCCGAGAAGTCATCCTCTGGCCGGATGTGTGGGCGGCCGCTGAGGCTGGGCTGCGGGTTCCTGTCCTGCGGGCTGGTCTCGCTCAGCTTGCGGGCCAGGTCGAAGCACTGGTTGCGCAGGCACTCCAGGCTGCTCAGACACACCTCCTCGTCGCTCTCCTCCACCAGCTTCTCCCCCAGCCCGTTGTTCAGGGGCTTCCCCAGCATCACGTAGTTCATGTTCCGACTGTCCTGCTGCGACATGGTGTCTGCGTAGCTCCTGTCGTTCATGTTCTCCGCCAGCACCACACCATGTCCTTGTGCTAGTAATTTCAGGGAGTCCACCGTTTCCCTAACGACATCACTGTCTAAGTCTAGACTCAACTCGCCTTTCCGACCCAAGTTCTCATTTTTGTCACTATCGTCTTCCAGACTATTGGAGGTGTTGCTGTTCATCTCGGACTCCGTGCGGGCCCGGTACGCTGCGTCCTCGGCAATCTTGCCAAGATTCAACAAGGACTTGGCCACCAGCTCGTCATAGTTATCATACTCATCATTATTGTTATCATCCTTTTCTGTGTCTTGCATTATGCGACTACTGTGACAGTTCATTTGATGGTCTTCTGCAAAGAAAGTAAAAAAAAAAAAAAGGACAAAAAAGAACAGAAAAGAAAGAAGTGGAGGCTAGAATGTGAAGTTTAGCGGCAACAGCATGGACAGCAAGCTAATTGCAGTCAACTCTACACACCACACAGCCCTGAGGTCCCGCTGCGTGTCAACACGACGAAACAGACTGCTCGACGGGAGCAGTTCAAAACACTTACATTCACTATTGACTTCCTTCATTAATCTTAAAATAAACAATTTAAAAATATTAATTTTTCATTGCACCTAAATTTTGAGAATGACTTTTCTTTTTTAAAAAATATATTTTATTGATTTTCTACAGAGAGGAAGGGAGAGGAATAGAGAGTTAGAAACATCAATGAGAGAGAAACATTGATCAGCTACTGGGGATGTGCCTACTGGGGATGTGCCCGCAACCAAGGTACATGCCCTTGACCGGAATCGAACCTGGGACCCTTGAGTCCGCAGGCCGACGCTCTATCCACTGAGCCAAACTGGTTAGGGCAAGAATGACTTTTCTTTATTGGCTTTGTGTACTTGCAGCCCAACCAGATATGCCACAGTTACACTCATCATCACTGGGCTTTGTGAGAGTCCATGAGCATCCCTGGTGTCAGCTCATAAACAGATGTGCGCAGTGGCTGCTTTCGAAGGGTTTGCTTCCCAGTGGTGCTCAGGTGGCGCGAGGAAAGCCCAGGTCCTGAGGACTCACACAGAGGATACACCTACTATGCGCTCGGGTCAGAAGCACATGTTTGGGCTGAGTGAAGAGCTATTCTGACTGTGGCACCTTGGAGGTAATTTATCAGAAGGCACAGTGAAGCAGCAGGAATGCCACAGTAAGATTCAGAAACAAAATCTGATGAACTGAGAATCCTGTACAAGTATCTCAGTGGGCGTGAGGACGTGGAGGGAGGAGGTCCGCGGTGACCAGGAGCCTGTGAAAAGCAGGACGGAGGGGAGCTGGTGCCGCGGACCCACATCCAGCACAGCCTTTGCCTGACATGCAGCACTGCCAGTCACCTCTCATGGCCTCGGGAGAAGCTGGGTGAGCCGGTAGAAATAATGTGTGACTGTCACATCCAGTCTCAAAAAAGCACTTAGGAAAACTGTTGTAGAAAAAAGACCATGTTAAGAATGACAAACTGCTACGTTCCATCTGGAGTGCGTCCTGTCTGACACTGACAGGCCACCTGGATGCACCTCTTTCCACGCTGCGCAGCCGCTCTGTGCTCACCGTGGACACGGGCGGCAGCCAAGGCCTTCTCACCTGGGCCCCTCCGGCCCCTGAGACTGCACTGTATGGGAGCTGCACTGTCACACCTGTTGTTTCTATGATTAAAAAGCCAGACTGAGAAGATGGTGGAAAGTTCACTAGTGAGCTGAAGGAAGGAGGGGCGCTGACCGCGGGCTCTCCCTGTGCCCAGGGCATTCTCCATGGGTTCCTGCCATTCCCTCAGGAAGGCCTTCTTTGGGAGCGGATTTGTACCTCGACACGTTAATAACAGAAAACATCTCTCTAGCCCACACACTTAAACATCTAACACATCCGTCTAAACATCAGCAAATCAAATTTGCCATGCATTAGTCACAGAGCATCACCAACTGCCGCAAAAGCGGTCCCTCTCCTGGCTCATTCCTACCAAGCATCTCCCCGAGGATAGGACATACACAGTCCCAACGGGCGGCAGGAGGGAGGACCCCCAACCACAGACGCAGGCGAAGCCTTGTGGGCGTGTCCACCTCACGTGGGCGTGTCCACCTCACGTGCGTAGCACGGGCCGTGGCCCAGGGCTCACGCTGTTAAGAATTGTAGGCGACCTGTTCTAGTGAAGTTCTGAAATATCAGCTCTGTTCCCTCTCGGCGTGTGCACTCTGAGTTCACACTCATGGGCTTTGACCAGAGGAGCGGCGTCAGGACGACCGGCGCGTGGCCGCCCCACGATGGTAACTGGGGACCTTGTAGCCAGTGCCAGCCACTGCCCCTACGGAGAACCAGCCACGAGTCGAACAAGAGAACCACGTGCCATCCTGAAGCACCTGATCGCCTGGTCAAAGAAGACATCAGTCAGAGAAGGTTGACGACATCCATGATGTTTCTCTCAGCGTGCTCTCAGGAAACACATCTTATCACCCTAAAGAACTTGGAAGGAAGAAAACCCACGGGAACAGTGAGAAAGAAGAGACAACACCTGTGTCATGTCCTCGCTCTCCCTACCCCACAGGGAGGGCTGCCCGTGGAACATGGCAGCGGTCACACTGAACTCATGACCTCCCTGCCAACCCCACTGGGAACGTGACTGGTGGATTCACATCCCAGGAGTAGCTGCAGCCCATCTGTCCCCAGAAGGGGGTGGTTTCTGCTGCTGTCTCTGGGCCTCCCAGCAGCTCCCCCGTCATCACAAGGCTGAGGACCATGTCCCCCTGTTGATGGTCACCCCCACCCACTCATAAGTCACCTTCCCCAGCACACCGATGAATGAACTCGGTCCAGGAAAAAGCGCTGGGGGCCGACACCCACTGTCATGTTCCATAGCAGGGCCTGCTCTGTGGCATGGCGGAGGGAAGCCGCTGGCTCCCATGGGGCCCTCGTGTGCTGGTGTGGATCCCCCTCTGTGTGCCTGTGTGGATCCCCTCTGTGTGCTGGTGTGGATCCCCCTCTGTGTGCCGGTGTGGATCCCCCTCCGTGTGCCGGTGGGGATCCCCCTCCGTGTGCCGGTGGGGATCCCCCTCCGTGTGCCGGTGGGGATCCCCCTCCGTGTGCCGGTGGGGATCCCCCTCCGTGTGCCGGTGGGGATCCCCCTCCGTGTGCCGGTGGGGATCCCCCTCCGTGTGCCGGTGGGGATCCCCCTCCGTGTGCCGGTGGGGATCCCCCTCCGTGTGCCGGTGGGGATCCCCCTCCGTGTGCCGGTGGGGATCCCCCTCCGTGTGCCGGTGGGGATCCCCCTCCGTGTGCCGGTGGGGATCCCCCTCCGTGTGCCGGTGGGGATCCCCCTCCGTGTGCCGGTGGGGATCCCCCTCCGTGTGCCGGTGGGGATCCCCCTCCGTGTGCCGGTGGGGATCCCCCTCCGTGTGCCGGTGGGGATCCCCCTCCGTGTGCCGGTGGGGATCCCCCTCCGTGTGCCGGTGGGGATCCCCCTCCGTGTGCCGGTGGGGATCCCCCTCCGTGTGCCGGTGGGGATCCCCCTCCGTGTGCCGGTGGGGATCCCCCTCCGTGTGCCGGTGGGGATCCCCCTCCGTGTGCCGGTGGGGATCCCCCTCCGTGTGCCGGTGGGGATCCCCCTCCGTGTGCCGGTGGGGATCCCCCTCCGTGTGCCGGTGGGGATCCCCCTCCGTGTGCCGGTGGGGATCCCCCTCCGTGTGCCGGTGGGGATCCCCCTCCGTGTGCCGGTGGGGATCCCCCTCCGTGTGCCGGTGGGGATCCCCCTCCGTGTGCCGGTGGGGATCCCCCTCCGTGTGCCGGTGGGGATCCCCCTCCGTGTGCCGGTGGGGATCCCCCTCCGTGTGCCGGTGGGGATCCCCCTCCGTGTGCCGGTGGGGATCCCCCTCCGTGTGCCGGTGGGGATCCCCCTCCGTGTGCCGGTGGGGATCCCCCTCCGTGTGCCGGTGGGGATCCCCCTCCGTGTGCCGGTGGGGATCCCCCTCCGTGTGCCGGTGGGGATCCCCCTCCGTGTGCCGGTGGGGATCCCCCTCCGTGTGCCGGTGGGGATCCCCCTCCGTGTGCCGGTGGGGATCCCCCTCCGTGTGCCGGTGGGGATCCCCCTCCGTGTGCCGGTGGGGATCCCCCTCCGTGTGCCGGTGGGGATCCCCCTCCGTGTGCCGGTGGGGATCCCCCTCCGTGTGCCGGTGGGGATCCCCCTCCGTGTGCCGGTGGGGATCCCCCTCCGTGTGCCGGTGGGGATCCCCCTCCGTGTGCCGGTGGGGATCCCCCTCCGTGTGCCGGTGGGGATCCCCCTCCGTGTGCCGGTGGGGATCCCCCTCCGTGTGCCGGTGGGGATCCCCCTCCGTGTGCCGGTGGGGATCCCCCTCCGTGTGCCGGTGGGGATCCCCCTCCGTGTGCCGGTGGGGATCCCCCTCCGTGTGCCGGTGGGGATCCCCCTCCGTGTGCCGGTGGGGATCCCCCTCCGTGTGCCGGTGGGGATCCCCCTCCGTGTGCCGGTGGGGATCCCCCTCCGTGTGCCGGTGGGGATCCCCCTCCGTGTGCCGGTGGGGATCCCCCTCCGTGTGCCGGTGGGGATCCCCCTCCGTGTGCCGGTGGGGATCCCCCTCCGTGTGCCGGTGGGGATCCCCCTCCGTGTGCCGGTGGGGATCCCCCTCCGTGTGCCGGTGGGGATCCCCCTCCGTGTGCCGGTGGGGATCCCCCTCCGTGTGCCGGTGGGGATCCCCCTCCGTGTGCCGGTGGGGATCCCCCTCCGTGTGCCGGTGGGGATCCCCCTCCGTGTGCCGGTGGGGATCCCCCTCCGTGTGCCGGTGGGGATCCCCCTCCGTGTGCCGGTGGGGATCCCCCTCCGTGTGCCGGTGGGGATCCCCCTCCGTGTGCCGGTGGGGATCCCCCTCCGTGTGCCGGTGGGGATCCCCCTCCGTGTGCCGGTGGGGATCCCCCTCCGTGTGCCGGTGGGGATCCCCCTCCGTGTGCCGGTGGGGATCCCCCTCCGTGTGCCGGTGGGGATCCCCCTCCGTGTGCCGGTTTGTACCCCCCTCCGTGTGCCGGTGTGGGAACCCCTCCGTGTGCCTGTGTGGGAACCCCTCCGTGTGCCGGTGTGGATCCCCCTCTGTGTGCCTGTGTGGGACCCTTATCTCTCCTGCCCTGAGGAGAGCTGGGCGTCACCATCCCACCTCCTGTCTCAGGAAGATCTATGGCCGTGAGGTCAAACCTCCCACATTCGGAGGCAGGAGAATTCTGCCTGATGGGGTCAAAAGAATGCGTGAGAAATCATTACAAATATTTAAAGAGATCAGCTTCTTCATTTTAAATGTTGTCAATTTTATAAGCTAA